CTTGCAGAAATGCTCACGCCCACCCACCTTCCCGACACATCCACACCCCTGACATCTTCATGCATCCTTCATAACAGCCATCATCCCCACCCCCACCCCCTTTCTCCCATCTTCCCCAAACCAAGCCTCAGCAGGGCTGACGCTCTGCTCTTTGGGCCACACTGACACTTTGAGGAGCAGATGTTGCTGAGAAATGGCAGGAGCTCAAGAGGGCAAAGGCTGGTCACAGAGTTTGGAGGGGTGGCCAGTCCAAGGGAAGAGATATAGGGGAAGGAGAGGAAGTTCAATGAGAGACACCATCTCATTAAGTCCTCACAAAATATTTTTCCTTTATGCAGATGAGGAAAGAGAAGCCTACAGGTTAAAAGTGACTAGTTTACACAGGTAGTAAGCAACAAAGTGATATCTGTAACCAAATCTGTCTAGTCAGTGGTTCTCTCAACTGGAGGACATTTTACTCCCCAGAGGACATTTGGCCGCGACTGTAGACCTGGATTGTCATGACTGGGGAAGGGGTTCTACTGACATCTAGTGGGTAGAGGCCAGGAATGTTGCTAAACACCCACAATGCACAAGACAGCCCCCCACAACAACGGATTATCTGGTCCAAACACCACTAATGCAGAATGAGAAATCTTGGTCTAGCACTTCCCCAGAGTATTCTTCACCTTGGCCTCTTTCTTAACTTCTTGGGTCTAAGAGATCTGGGATATCCACTTGCCCTGGGGGGTTTGGGGAAGAAACAGCTCTACACATACCCATTCTCAGGCTACGTACCAGGGTCAGTGTTCAAGCTACGGATCCAGCAGCCACAGTCCCCAATTCCCCACTGTGGCACATTTAGGTTCACTCTCCCTGTCCATTAAAGGGAGGCAGTCCTGTGTGGGGAGGAAATGCTTGTCCTATTGCTTACTATAACCTCAAAGCCGACCGTCAGTGCCCGGGTTAGGTTAGCTTCCAGAAGTGGCCACAAGGTGGCACCCTAACCCACCAAGAATGCGAAGGCTCTGGGCCTGGGAGGAGAGCCGCACGTATGATGTGCCAACCTGGACAAAGGCCTGGACGCTGGCCTTGGGCCAGTTCCAGAGCCTAGTAGGACTAGATCGAAAGCCTGCAAGTGCCAGGAGTGAGAACATCGGCCAAACTTGGCTTCAGGACTCCCTTCACCTTCTTCTAGTCCAGCCCCCATTCATCCTCTAAGCCAGTCCCACCACTGATCTCACTGGAGCCCAGCAACCCCTCCCCTCTAGTCTAAACAAGAGAAATTGCAGAGCTGAGGTGTTAGAGATATAGGGATTATTATTATTCATACCTAACAATAAAGAAACTGAGGCATAGAGAAATTGAGTACTTTGTCCAGGGTCACAGCTAGTCAATGGTGGAGCTAGGATTTGAACCCAGGCAGTCTGGGTCTATGCTCCTGGCCACTGAACACCGTGACCGCTTTGGTAGTTCACTGCCTCCCACCGGGGCTACTGATCCCAAAGACCCTGGTATAGGACCATGAGACTTCCTCTCTGCAAAGGAGGAGGAAAACGGCTGTGAGTAAGGGGAGCACTGCTCAAAAATGAAAAGGAGTGAGGTCCTCAGCTGGGCTGCAGGCCTGTGGTTAGTGGTTGTGGGTGAGAAGCTAAGGCTCCATCAGCAAGTCTTCCTCTCACTCTCATTTCTCCAGGGCCTTTGTCCTTCTTCTCCTGTGATGCCCTCTTGGTTTTTCTGGGCTTTCTGCAAATGCCAGCCTTCTTACAGTGTGAAGAGGAAGTGAGAAAAGAGATTTTTACATCCCTGCTTGGGATAGAGAAGGTGGGGGCCATTCTTTGAGGTCTGGGCTGGGGGTGTCACCAAGGATGAAGGTGAGAATCTGAAAGTAGGACAGTGAGGGACACCTGAGAGGCAGCTACCCTCTCCCACCTTGGGGGCTCTTCTCTCTGAGCCTTGCAGGGGATTTTGGGGTGTGGTGGATACTCTTCAACACTCCCCTTCCCTCCAACCACGGCCTGCCTCTCTTCTGAGCACATCCGCCAGGGCCAGGCATGACCAGAGCGCCTGCCCCACACTAGGTGCCCTTCGCCTCACTCTGTCTCTCCCCTTTCTTCTCTCCACCATCCGGGGCACACTTCAGTTCCCCATTGTGACTCACCATGGGGTAGCGGCTTGAGTGGGCTCTGCACCGGCGCCCCAAGAGACTCTGGTTGAGGCCCTCCCCCTGACTCTGTCTCAGTAAAGAGCTCCAGACTCCTACGGCCTCTGCCTCTGGGGTTCAGGGACTCTGGTCCTCTCCTGGCCCTCCTCAAGCCATCCAGCTTTGAAGGAGGAGCTCCTGTGTTCAGAGCACTGTGAAGGGAAGCAAACAAGGAGTGTCTCTAGAGGAACTGATAGTCACTTTTTGGAAACTACATGAGCTAGAGGGAAGGTTGGGGAGTCACACTTTGGTCCCATGTGGTCCTGCAGGAGAGAGAAGGGATGGGGCCCTGGGCCCCCATGGCTGGCAGAACCACAGGAGGCTTCCCAGGGGCACAAAGAGCAGTGAACACCTGGCTGGAAGGAAAGGAAGGTTTGGAAAGCCCTCTTACCTGTCTCTCCCCTATCTTGATTTCTCCCAGCCAGGGGTCTGTGTCTATCTTCTTTTCCTTCTGGGGCATCCATTTCTCCGTTTTATCACTTCCTTGGATTGGGGCAGAGCTTTCTGAGAGCCTGTGTGCAGGAGATCTGAACTTGGGCCAGGCTGAGCCACACCAGGTCAGGTCTCCTTGTGATTAGGGGATGGCACTCACTGGTCAGAGAGGAAAACTCGAAAGCTCTCTCACCCCTGCGTTATTCTGAGATTGCAGGGGAAACAGCTCCCATTGAGAAGAATAACGCAGATGAATCACTGGAGGGAGGACTGGCCCCATACTCCAGCCTTCTCTTTCACTCTGCCCATCTCCACCCCCCATTCCTGCCCTAGCTCTGCCTCCCTCTGTCCCGCCTCTTGTCCTTCTCTCCTATCCCTCCTCTCTTGCTCTGCCCTTGGCCTTTCTCAACCATCTCTACTCTTCCAACTCTTTCTTCCACTGCACACAGATTTCCCTGGGGCCAGGCTGGGATTCCCTGGCCGAGTGAAGAGAGAGATGCCTGCAGCACATCTTTGTCCCCAGGTCCACAACAGTGTCTGTGGGTCAGTGTCAAGGGACAGCTGTCTGCACAGTTAGCAAGTGCCGACAGGTAAATAAGAGCCTCGTGTCTTCTTAATTAAATCGCCCTTTGCCCAGGCAGCCTTGTGTTCGATTGAGCTGCGCTGGGATCAATAAGCCTCTTTCCTGGCACAACCACCCCTGGAGCTGGGCCTGACCTTCGCAGCTCTGTCCAGGCCCACCTGCCCACCATGCCCCTCCCCCAGCCTGAGAGACCCTGGAGGGCAGGGTCTGTTGTGCGCCTGTGCCTAGGGCAGAGTCTGGAACCAGTAAGGAGTAAAGGAGTGATTGCTCAATTGAGTAAACTGAGGCAAACACGAGCCAGGAAGGCTCGGAGGCCCAAACTGTAACTACCACCCACCAGATCATCTTGGAAGCTATAGGAATCAGAGCAGGCAGCTGCTCCCATCTGGCCCTGGGACACAGGATCAGCTGATCAGCCAGGGGAGCTGAAGTCCTAGGGGGAGAGGGGCAATTGTCAATATTCAGGTCCACCTTCGGACCTCTAAGGGCAGAATACCCTTCCCATAAGGGATCTCCAATTAAGGATCCAGCGCTAGTGTGAGAGGATCAGTGGACGGGATCAATAGGGTAGAATGTGTGGCACTCATGGGAGGCGAGGATCAGGTTGGAGTATGAAGGGCCCCTGGTCCGTTAGAGGTGGAAAGAGGTTAATAAGCAGCCAGGATTATTGGATTGCTAGTAGAGAGCTTAGAGGACAACATGGGTGTTGTGCTTATGGGGGTGGGGTATGACTTATTTTGGGGTCCATGAGAGAGGGTACCTTTGAAAGGATCATGTAGGCTCCAGATTCTGTGAAAAGGGTCAGTGTTAAAGGGCTGATTTCAGTGGCCGTTGCTGGTCAGGGTCAAGGTGTCTCTCATAGCAGTTTCGGTTCACTGGTGGGTAAGACAGTTCCTAGTTTGAAAAGAGAGGGGCGGGGGCAGACGCCTTTCTTACATCAGTTTGACCCGGGGACGCTGGCCTGAACGTCTCCCAGGGCCCCAGCGCAGCGAGTGACACTCCCCTGGTGCGGAGCGTCGGCGGGTCCCCCCGGAGCTGCAGGACCCCTGTGGGGCGGGCGCCCCCAGCGCTGGGGTTGAGGGAGGCCTGGCTCCGCGCGGGACTGGGAGGGGGGCGCAGAATCAGGGCTCTTTAGGACCCAGCGCGGCACCTCCCTTCGGGGGCGAGTGCGGCTGCGCGCGCCGTGTGCCCGTGTCCGGAGAGCGGCGGGCTGGACGCGGACCGCGCGAGCGAGCAAGCAAGCGAGCAAGAGAGCAAGCAAGCCAAGCAGCAGCCCGGGCGGCAGCAGCGTCGCGGCGGCGGCGGCGCTCGGCGCCTCGCCTCCCCGGCCTCGCCTAGCCGCGCCCCGATCCACCACCCCCGCCTCCCGGGCCGGACCACCGCAGCCCCCTCGCTTCGGCCGGCAGCGCCAACCGCCTGTGTGAAGCGGGGCGCGGAGCGCAGGGCGCAGAGGCACCGGAGCCAGTGCCCGCCGGCCCCGCAGACCGAATCCAGTCTGGAGAACCCCTGCCGGGCCCCACGCGGCTCCACAGCAGTCCGGGAGCTGTCCCTTCAGCACCGCAGCCGGAGCCGGAGACCGAGTCCGAGCGCAGCCCAGCGGAACCGCAGCTTGAGCCCGAGCGCACCGAGCGCAGCGCTCCACGGCAGCCGCACCGAGCAGCGTTCCGGGCGCCCCTATCCAGGGGGCCCGCCATCTCCTTCAAGAGGCGGGGAGAAGGAGCGAGGAGGGCGGGCAGGCGGGCCGGCGCGCCCGCCGCCGGGGGGAGCAGGCAGCCAGCAAGGAAAGAGGGAGGGGGCCGGAGCCCGCCCTGCGCCCCTAGCTGCAGCCCGGCCACGCAGGGAGGAACGCAGCGGGCATCCATCTCCCCCGCGTCGAGAGCGCGCTGCAGCGACCACCGCACAACAGAGCGCGGATTTCCCGGACCCCTCTCCTCCTTCCCCCCTCCGGGGGCTGATCTATCTGTCCGGCCCTGGGAGCAGCTGACCTTACCTACCAAAGCTTTGTGTCGATTTCTACATTTTCCCGCTGAGATGGGGATGGGAGCCCGATCCCCCCACCCTCTTTTCCCTCCGCCCAGGGCTCGCCGCTGAGCGCCGCCCCCCTTCCTCCCCTTCTTCCTTCCCTCTCTCCCGCCCTTCTTTCCTCCTCTGCCTCCTCCGCAACCGGACCAGCTCTTTCCTACATCTGGCGCCCAGAGACCCTTGGGATCCCGCGCACACTCCCCTGGAGCAGCACCCGACAGAAAGCGCCCTGAGGGGCTTGCGTCGCTCGTGGGGTAGCCAGAGCCGCGGTCCTCTGTACCCCCCGACGGCTGGGGGGAGGGGGGAGGAGGCTGCGCGCCCCCCTCCCCGGCGCCAACTCCCCCTGGCGGCCGCTCCCATGGGTGTCGCTGGGCCGCGCCATGCCTAAGGGGGCGCCGCGATGGGCCAAGGGGACGAGAGCGAGCGCATCGTGATCAACGTGGGCGGCACGCGCCACCAGACGTACCGCTCGACGCTGCGCACGCTGCCCGGCACGCGGCTCGCCTGGCTGGCGGAGCCCGATGCCCACAGCCATTTCGACTATGACCCGCGTGCCGACGAGTTCTTTTTCGACCGCCACCCGGGCGTCTTCGCGCACATTTTGAACTACTACCGCACGGGCAAGCTGCACTGCCCGGCAGACGTGTGCGGGCCGCTCTACGAAGAGGAGCTGGCCTTCTGGGGCATCGACGAGACCGACGTGGAGCCCTGCTGCTGGATGACATACCGCCAGCACCGGGACGCGGAGGAGGCGCTCGACAGCTTTGGCGGTGCGCCCCTGGACAACAGCGCTGACGACGCGGACGCCGACGGCCCTGGAGACTCAGGCGACGGCGAGGACGAGCTGGAGATGACCAAGCGCCTGGCGCTCAGTGACTCCCCTGACGGACGGCCTGGTGGCTTCTGGCGCCGCTGGCAGCCGCGCATCTGGGCGCTCTTTGAGGACCCCTACTCATCCCGCTACGCGAGGGTAAGTGACAACTTACCCATCAGAAGATGGGGTGGGGGTGTATTCGAGAATACACTGGCACCGACGGAATCAGAACTGAAAGGGGTGCGTGGTGTGTGTGTGTGTGTGTGTGTGTGTGTGTGTGTGTACACATACGTGTACGTCCGTAAGACAGGGGATGATTTTTTTCGAGAGTGACTAGTTTTGTACGTATGTAAGGTCTGCCTGTATTTTCGGGCTTAATATGTATGAGCAAGTATAAATGGGTGTGTTTGTGTGTATGAGCAGATTGTGTGTGCTTACTCATATAAGTGTGGCCGTGTATATTTGGGTGGGTAAAGAATGTAGTGAGAATTAGTGAGCATGTGTATGTGTTTGAGTGTGCAAGAGTGCCTGTGCATCATGCTTGTGTCTCTGCAGATGTACACTGGGAAGGTCTGATTTGCCCTTTGGATTCTGGTGTGGGGAGGGAGGCTGGGCACCCTCCCTCCTCCCCAAGTAAGGGCACCTGGAGCCAGCCAGGGCGCACAGTGAAGGGCTTGAGGCCTGGGTCAGCTATTTGAGGCAGGCCTCTGTCCCCAGGGAGCAGCCTCAGGCCATGCTGCGGAGGCGGTCAAGGGGGAATCCTTCGGGCTAATTACTACAATAGCTGGTAGTTGGTACAGGACCGGGCTGTGGGGAGGCGGCTGTGGCTCCTCTGAAGCCTGCTGCTCCTGGGAACACAGCCTGTTCTCGCTCGTCCAAAGGGCAGAGTATTGGAAGGGGCCACTGGGCTTAGGCCTCTGGGGCCTGTCAGGAGCAGGGAGGGGGTTCTAAAGGGGGCCCCCACAAGGAGAGGGTCTGTGAGAGGTGGGTGTGTCTTTGTCAGCCACTCCCCTTTCCTGACAGCAGCTTGTGCTTGGTACCGGCCAGGAAGGGCACCCCGCTGCTGACCTTGGCCCCTCAGGTGGCCTCTCTGAATCAGTTTCCTCATCCGTAAAATAGGAGAGGGAGGTCTGGTGAATTCTAAGGGTTTTGCTACTTAGCTAAGCCCAAAAGGGAGGCAGTGGAAGCAGCCGCCTACCTTGGAAGAGACACCATTACCTTCACTGGACTCTGTCCTCAGAGGTCCGCATGGAGCCTAAGGCATGGGGAGGAGGGTCAGGGTCAGGTTTTTTAAAGCAGAGCCCCTCCCTCACCCAACCCCCACTCTCCATTACGGCTCTGCCCCACATGCCTTCCCTCCTGCCCGCTAGAACTGCGGGGGGAGGGGAGCCGGAGGCAGGGGAGGGGGCGAGATTGTCTGCCCAGTTGCTGAGGATCAGTGTGGGAAGGGGACTTGGGGGGCACTGAGGTGCCCACAGGCAGAAAAAGGCCGTGTCTAGGCACAGGCCTGGTAGATTTGTTACTGAGCTAAAACACTCAATGTTTTAGCATCTTTAAGGGGAGAGAAGCAGGTCAGAGTGTTATACATGAAATCCTAGAGTAGATGTGTATGGAGAGGCTCATAGGAAGAGAGCCAAACCCCTCGTTTTGCCACTGAGGACCCTGCCCAAGGTCACCAGGGAGCAAGAGGCTAAGCAGGAACAGAACCAAGTCTCTTGGGACTTCATCTTCCTCAGAGCTGGCTACCTTGGGCTCAGCTTTAGGGCTCTGCCCTCTGTCCCTGAGTTTCAGAATAGGCAGGGGTCATGTGGGGCATAGTCCAGCCCCCTCTCCTGTCCGTCTTCTCCCACTGGGCATTCCTAGGCTGTGGGGCAGCTGTCACCCAATGCAGATAAATGGGCTGGCTGGTATGATTTGGGGTCTTGTTGGTGTACAAAACCATACAGAAAAGTCCTAATTCTATTGCGTGTCCACTGGAGAGCAGCCTCGGAGGGAGAAGCTGGGCAGTAGAGGGGGATGGGGGTAAGTTGGAAGGTGACCCCCCAAGCCTATCCGTGCTACCTCCTTTCCCCAAGTAGCCTCACAGAGTCGTTCGAACATCCTTGGGTGACAGATGAGGACACTGAGGCCCCCAGGGAAAGGGACCTGCCCAAGGGCACACAAGAATGGAGGGCAGGGCCTGGATTAGAACCCCAGCTTCCTGCCGCCTCCGGCAGGCCTAGCTGCATTGCGCTGCCTCTCTGCGGCTCATCTGCGCAGGGACCAGCCGGCCGCCCGCCCTCCCTCCCTCCCCCTCCATCTTTGCTCTGCTGCTGCCGCTGCTGTCACCTTTGTTTACCCCTCCCCCACAGGGGCCCGAGACTCCTCAGACTGGTGGGCAGGGATTTAAATTTTTACTATAGATTCTAGACCAGAGTTCTGTATGTGTGTGACATTGTCTATCTAAAAGGAAAGCTGCATGTGTGAGAGAATCTATGTAAGAGACTCTTCAAGTGTGTGAGAAAGACTGTACGAGAATAAAAATGCGTGTGAGACTCTGGGTGTGGTGGGGTGTGTGTGTGTGTGTGTGTGTGTGTGTGTGTGTGGTGAGACTGATTATGAAGGTTCTGTGTCTCTGTCAGAGAATTCTGTGAGAGTGTGAGAGAGGCAGATTGTGTATGTTTTGAGCGATGGGCTCCGTGTGTGGGAATGAGACTGTAGGGGGAGAGTGCATCTATAAGATAAAGAGAGTCTATGTGTAGGAGAAACACCGTGTGCGTGCGTGTGTGTGTGTGTGTGTGTGTGTGAGAGAGAGAGAGACCCTCGGGAGAGGCGAGAGAGACCTGAGGTGAGTGTGAGCGCGTCGATGTGTGCGGCAAATGTGAGACTATTTGTGAGGCTGTGTGTGGGGTGGGGAGCCCTGTGTTGCTGTGTGTGCGTGCACGTGACATGTGACAGAGACCTTGTGTGGCCGGGGTGCGAGTGTACCTTGAGGAAGATGAAACTCCAGACCAGCTTCCTGCCTGCTGCCTCGTGCTCCGGGGACTTTGGAGCTGCCCTGGTGAGCAGGTCCGCTCCCGTGTTCCCATCCCCAGCAGAAGCACGCCGGAGCCCTGGCCAGCTGTTGCTGCACGGACCAGGCGGCGAGGCTGCCTCACGCGGGCCGTGGCCTCGGCTCTGGAAGACAGGGGCGACTTGGGTGGGAGGGCCCCTCTGAACCCTTCAGGGGCGAGAGTGCTAGCTGGGGCCGCTGGTCCCCCGGGCCCCTCTCTCCTATGGTTTTCTGGGGACCCGGGCTGAGGGGGTGAGGGGTGGGGAGAGGAGCTGTGACAGGATGGGCCCTGCTTGTATTCTGGGGTGAGGGGCGGCACCCCAGACACCCACGACCAAAAGGTGATGATGGCACTCTGTGGTAAGGGCTGTGAAGGGCCTTCCTGGGGCGACGAGAGTAAGAACTGTCCCAGAGGAGGTGATGCTGGGCCAAGCTTTGAGGGGCAAGAGGAGGGGCCAGGGGCAGGGACAGCAGTCCCAGCGCGCAAAGCCGTGGAGCAGTGGGGGCAGGCAGGGCCGCGTTGCGGGGGCTGGGGGCAGCGCTGACCTGAAACCTGCCCTCCTCCCTTCCTTGGGGGCCAGCGCGGGTCTGAGGCCCTTGGCTTTTGTCTAGGATTTGCACGTTGTCATCAGGAACATTGCTCTGTGTCACATCAGGGCCTGTGGAGGTCTCTGTGCTAGAGTACTGTGTGTGTGTGTGTGTGTGTGTGTGTGTGTGTGTTGACATCTGTCTCTCAGAGTCACTTGACCTTTCAAAATGCCAGTGGAAGCCTCACCTCCATTCACCCCCACGGCCCACCTCTCCTGCGACCCCAAGGCTTTGTCACTCTGCCTTGTCCCACCTCCATAGGACCTGATATAGTCCGATGCCTTCTCCGCTCTCTGGGGAGGAAATTCACTTGGGCAGGAATGATGAGCCCGGCCAGAGACTTCTGTTTCTCTCTTGGGTACCAGGGGACACAGGACTCTTGGAGCCTCAGCTTGGCATGCAGAGCACTTGGGGACAGAGCTGCTACCAGGGCCTCCCTAGGTGCCTTGCCTCCTGACCTCAGAGCCCACTGCCCCAGGTCAGGGCCCTGGTGTGCGTCCCAGTAGCATGTGAGGGAGACACGTGAGCAGTGGCAAAGGCGCTGGGCATGTTCCCCACCCCGAGTGCTCCCTGCCACAGTGTACACCCCATTCTTCATCTTTCCTGTGATGCTTTTACAGGTGTCCTCATGGGCTTGGATGGTCCTCCCAACTCCCCTCCTAGTAAAGAAAGGCAGAAACCTGCATCTCCTAGTCCAAGCCTCTCAGCATCTTCACCCCTAAAATGTACATACTGATAGAACCCACCCCAGAGGGCTGATAAGAAAGATTAACTGAGGCAAGAGTGGAGAGTCCCAGGTCACAGGGCCTGGCATGCAGTAAGTGCTCAATAAACGCTGGCTGCTGTTATTGCCCCTGTTGGCTGTATTATCATTTTACTCCACAACTCTCTAGACTCCATCCTTTGCCCTCTGTCTCCATGTCCACCCTCCTGCCTCAAGCCACCACTGTTTCTTTCAGGCCAACCCCTCCAACAACTTCCTGAGTGCTCTCCCACTTCCCACCCCTGCACCTCCAGTTCATTCTCCGCTTGGCAACATGGAGGTCTCTCAGATCACGAATCCATCAGCTCACCTCCTTGCCTGCTTGAAAACCTTCGGTGCTTCCCCAGCCCATACCTACCTGCCTCTCCAGTCTCCTCTGGCCGGGCTCTCCTCATCGCTCACTGAGCTCCAGCCACCCTGGCCTCATTTCAGTTCCTTTCATGTGCCATGTCTGTCTGCCACAGGGCCTTTGCATATGCTATTCCTTCTGGAGCACTCTTTCCTCCTTCACACCTTGCCTCAATCATCAGTTCCTCAGGGATGCCTTCCCGGACTCCACAGGTTGGGTCAGGATTCAGAGCCAGAGTCCTTCCCTTCAGAGAAGCTATCTGGCTTGTAATAAAATGTTCACTAGCGGTCTGGCTTGATTCAGGTTTGTCTCCCCCTCCAGACCCTAAGCTCCTTACACATGTGATATACTGGGAGCTATAATTTTGACAGATGAGGAAACTGAGGCCCAGAAAGGAGTGCTTTACCCACGGTCACATGTCAGCA